TCTTTTAACCTAAGAGTCAAATATGGCTAGGTTTCCTGGATGCAGGAAGGAGACAGCTAATAAATCCTTACCAAAGGATTGGTGCCAAAATTTTAGCCTCTGAAAAAGTTATCAAACTCATTAAGGGTATTTCATGAGATAGGTGGAAAAACATGAGGCACCAGCAGTGAGTCTTTGTAAACATGGGCCTCCAGGATTGAAACTCACCAATAAAGTACACTGTGCTCTGGGATCTTGAATCAACATGGATCTTCACTGCAGCCTTAATCCAGTGAAAACAAATTGGCCAAGGAACCAGTGAAATTCTGCAAAAAGATGAAGCTGGCTGGGGCAGAATGAGGCCATCATTAGGCTTCCAGGAATTCAACAGAATTTGACTTATAGGAAGGAGTCAGCAGCATAACTAGGGGATTTTCCTTCTCTTCCCTGGCAGGGACACTCCTCTGATACTCTTGAAATATTCCTACAACCACTTGAGCCAGTGCTGAGATTAGAGTGCAGGTAGGAGACAGTTTGTCATCCCCTGACTTCTGCTCTTTTTTCCTTACACCTCTTTAGCTGTGGGTCATGCCCACATTTGGGGCTCACCCTGTCTTCGAGAATGGACTGGAAAAGTCATTTTATGGCTACTCCACCTGGTTTGCGATCGTGAACTTTGGCCTCCCACTGGGTGTGTTCTACCGAATGCACTCTGTCGGGGGACTCCTGGAGATCTACGTCACAGCCTGAACCAAGCTGACTTCCCACCCCAGAAGCTGGGGTGAAACGATGCTGAACAAAGGTGCAGCAAGCAGTGGATATGCACATGGAAGCTTTTAAGCTTTTTCCCTCCGGCTTCTGCTTTGACTTCTCCTTGCACATCTCCATGAGTTTCAGAAGAAAAGGAGATTGTTTTATATTTTCATTTTTTCTCCATAGAGAATAGACTCAAAGCCCATAAACAAACTGTCTTACTGCTCTAAGGAAGCACGCATGCTGGTACTTTTCAGTAGTCTGCCAGTGGATGCTGTATGGTAGCAAGTGGGACTTTACCAGCTCCTATTGAAATCTTCCAGATAAAAGAATGCAAGAGCAGCCTTCAACAAAAGCAACAAAGATTGACCAACACTCCACAGAACTTCAAAAATCCAGTCAAGGACCACCAGCCCCACCACTGCTCACCAACCCCCCATCCTGCAGCACAGAAGAGACCTATCAGTACCAGCCACACTAGAAGCATATACAGCCACAGTCATTCAGAAACGAACCAAATGTACGCTTTTTATGTGTAATTTTCAAAAAGATGCTGGTAGCTGCTTTAATGGTCATATCAGGGAGTATTTTTGTTTGTTCCTGGTTACAACATCTGGCATGCCAACTTGTGCAAGTCCCGTAGGGCCCAGCCCCACCGAAGTGCCAAGCTCTTGCTGCCAAGCTCAGTACTGAACAGCAGGACAGGCCTTCAGACTTGCATCAGTTCAGTGCACCTTTTCCCATTATCAAAAACAGAAGCTATAGCATCACCTTGCCTTACTGAGAATAAACACTATTTCTCCTTACAGGCACTCACATAGCCTCAAGTGAGAAGCGCTAGAGAAGTACTATGGCTGATCTTTATTTGATGCTACTCATGCATGATGTTATCACCAGTGTGTACTAGCAAACGTCCCACTCTTGCATACAGAGCTTGTTCAAGAAAGAGCTACTGCCAAATCTATTGTGAATCCCTCCCTACCCCAGCACTTCAATCCTCAGTGCTGCTTTGCAAGTCCACATTTCGCAAGGTGCACTGCGCACAAGGGAACACTGTTACACAGTGTAGTGCCTGCTCAAAGACCCATTAGTACTTGTTCCATAGGAGATGCTTCCTTTGAAAGCACATGGGGAGAGCAAGGGGGCTTGCAATTATGGGTCCCAAATACAGAGCCTGATGAATGGAAATAAAGAGAGAGTGAATTTTTATGTGTATTTTGTGAAATCTCTGGGTCTGCTCTGCACTCACCAAAGACCAGACTCAAAGTCAACTGACATTGACTTACACCACTCTTGTGTTCAGAGGTTATATGAGATTTGAGGGTAGGCTTTGTTATACAACCAGTTTTTTGCTACCAAAACCTCTCATGACTCTTAACTACGGCCAAAGTAGCATGGTACAGAAGGCATCCAGATTATTGCTTCTGTTCCTCTATAAATCAATCCCAGAAGCAGTGTGGGTTTAGGATCAGAACCTATTTACGGGTTTTTTTTGTGATCCCCTAGAAAAGCAAACTCCCCCGACAGTAACAGTGATGAGAGCTAGAAACTCCTGACCACACACATCCCACTCTCCTTAGGATTCAGCATTCAGGCAGTAACACCTTTCCGTGAAACTGTAAGCACGAACGATTGCATGAGCATGAACTTTGCCCATAAGTGTTTTTACTTAGGCCTGTGTCAGCAGAAATATGTCATGAGAAATAACAGCTGGATAAATTAGGCTCCAATAAAGTTAATTATTATTCTCATGTCACAGTTTGTACCAAGGGATCTACAGGAGATACATGCCAAGGTCTGGCCCATTCAAATGACGAACATGATCTCAAACCTTCTTCCCAGTTATTGACAGCCTGGAGACAAGCGATGATGTACTTCATAGGCAAACCCATGACCTGGATTTTATCTGCAGTCTAATAGATAAAACACTGTTTAAGTTACTGAGCCTCCACTGAGCAGGTGACTTTGGAGGTCTCCCACTGAGATTACTAAGCACTATGTACAAGTATGGACTGAAAGAGAAGTCAGCTTGTGATTTCTTGCTGGTAAACAGAGGGACTACCTGAATATGTGATTAGCATGAACAGGAATGAAGCCCACCAGCAACAACTCTTACCCACAGCAACTATAGATCAGGTAAGTGGTCAATGCCCTCTATGTCCTTTCCTAACAACACCCAGTTCTAACACTGTAGATGAACGTAAGAAATCCCACAACGGGCAACAGTAAAAGCACTCTTCCAGGCCAAACAGAAATGCAGGGTCCAAGGTTCCAGCCCTTTCACTTAGGAGGGTTCTATCTCTGGACTGATTTGTGTCTGATCCCAGGAGGAGTAAAACCATGAACGCACAGTTTGTATGCAATTAAAACTGCCTTCGGCTCCTTCACAAGACTGACAGCAGGACTGGGCACAGTCATCTTAAAGCCTAGTGAGAAGTGAGCTAGCCGTGACTCCTGAATCCAACACAGCTATGACATGGCAGTGGCCCACCGGATCCTTCGTCATCTGCCATCTGCTCCACCATCTTTTGTCATTTGCCATCGTGAATGACTTCCAGAGCTCTCCCAGGGCCAGGGTGCCTGTTTTATGGGTCTCAACTGCACAGAGGTTTTAGTACAGAGTTCACAAAGTCAGGAGACTTGATCCTGTTTGATCTAGTTCCTTTTCTATACCCTTTGAGGCAGTTACCTTTGATGATGTATGCCTTTGATGATGTCTCATGTCATAAACACAGAGTTTATGACATGAACCCACACAGTTCAGGCTTGTTTTCCAGAGTCCAATCTTCATTTCTGATTACAAAAAAAAATTTCACACACTGCATAGGAAGCCAGCACACGGTATCCTAGTAGCACAAATCACCCCAGCATAAGACAAATGAGATTATAAACCTCTCTCTGGGAAAAAAATAGGCGACCAACTGCACGTTTCAGATAATCTTTATCTTTCTCCCTGTAAGTAAGCAAATAGTTTACAGTGCAAGTTGATTTCCACAGAACAAGGATCAGACTCCAAACACCAAGAAACAAACAAAAAGGTTTTCAGAGAAACTCACAAAGAAACAAAGCAGAAAAGAGGGGACGGAAGAGATCATGAGAACCAGCAGATCCATGGGAGGGAAGAGGCAAGCACGTGGGACATGCCCCATTCCAGCTGTGAGGTGCAAGTGCCATACAATCAGAGGCTGGCACCACCAAATCACTTTCTTATATATGAGACAGATTCCAAGTAAAACAGAGACCTCACACTGTTTACATCTAAACAGAGATGGGGTCAGGATGGGAGTAATGCTAGATGGCAAAGTGGGTTGGAGATGGTGGGTAGGTGGGGGAATAACCTCTCTTTATTTCACTTATTTCTTATCCTTCACAAAACCATTCAGGTTTTATTTCAGCTTTCTACTGGCCTGGGACTCCAGTCCACTTTCAGTGCCCAGAGGAGGAAACCACCTGACTACAAGCCAGCAGTACACTAGAGCAGCACTCTCTCTAGGAAAGAATGGTCATGTTGCTATCACTCTAGCTTCAAAACTCAGGCAAGGGTTACAAGACAGAAGTGCGTGCCATACCCATCCCCTTCCTTTAACATGTGAGACCAGTTTCCATGGAGTAATCTCACTGGTTCTAAGCTGTGGCAAACAGCTCATGGCCAATGATCCTCCCAAGAGCCTGGATACAGAGCACCAAGGACTAAGCTTTGGTGGAGAGGGAAACGTCTCAGTTCATGACAGGACCCCTCACATTTCATTGTCTAAAGACCACGCAGGTCTAAGACAGCAGCCCCTCCCAGCAGAACATAAAATTTGACTCAAACCCCATGATATCTCCACCTACCAATGTGCAAACCCATGCAGCTGAACCAAGCCAGCAACAGCAGGTCTCCCACCAATTCTAATTCTGGCTTCCCAGACTTCACATGCTTGGGACCCAATACATTCAAGATCTGATAACTTGGTCACTAGTAAAATGCCCTGAAGAACTGAACTTTGCCTCAGCACTCTCCACTACAGTCCACACTAAACATGGAGATACTTTTCCTCCTACAGCTTCCCTGAGTGCCTCCCTCAATCCCCTGCCTTAGACAGTAGTGTGCAAAAGACCTTTCCACTCCCTGCATTGCATCAGCCTGCCAGTCAAAGATGGAAGGATACGGTTCCTTTCAAACCCAGGTGACACTGTCCTTTCAGTCAACGGGAGAAGACTAAAAGAGTTTAACAGTCACGTCTCTTCTCCTTGCTCTCACTGAGCCAGTCCCTTCCTCCCTGTGTGCTCACATGGATTAAGCAGGGCTTTCCAAAGTGACACACAGTCCATTGCAACAGCCCACCATGAAGGACAGGCTGCTGGGCCTGGAAGCCAAGGAAAAACTTCTCATGCCACACCAAAGCACCAGCTACTACAAAACTTCTTAAGCAGCTTTCCAGGAAAGGAGTAGAGAGATTTAGAACGGAGACACAAAGTTTTCCTTCAGCAACTTCTCCTTTCTTTTGGACGGGAAAGACTCCCCTACCAATATGCAACTGAGACACCAGGGAGACACCTGCAGTCAGAAAGGATGCCCCGGAAACTTTATGGAGCCACATGAAAGTAACTGAAGTTTCCAAACCCCATCTCCTGCAGGAATAGCAGCTTCTCCCTTGCACCCAATTTACAGCTAGTCTTTTTCAATTAAATGCTGACTCTGACCAGGGCAAGGACAGGGTCAGATTGGTTTCCAAACCACATCCACGAGCAAAAGAGTAATAGAAGAGCTAAGAATGGTCTGATTTCTAGTGCAACCACAACAGTGGACAATCCCTTAGACATCTTTCACTCAAGGTTCATAGTGAAGGGTGAGGGAAGAGAAATGAGCTGGGGGGAGGGATGTCCAAGCAGGTCCCAATTAAAGCTCTAAATGACAGGGAGGTAAGTGAAGTGATTGTCCTTTTGGTCTCTCAGCTGGATGTGAAACACAGGAATAGCTGTGATGAAGCAGCACACAGCAGTCCGTAGGTCCAGTGCATTTCTCTTAGTAGAGGTAAGTGCTCTCTTAGACCCGTTGAATTTCAAACAGCTTCACATCTGTGTCATACCAGATAGGGGGATCCACATTCCTGAGAGAGAAAGACAAGAGCCACTTTACTTTTTGTGGCCAGGTACATGGAATTCAAATCTCATAGCCAAGACTACAGGAGCTGGCTATACAGAAAGCCTTCAACTTTGCAGATGAGGAAATCACTGGTTGAGAGAGAATGGGCCTTAAAGGGATGACAACATCCCACAAAGCCAGAGCTTTCAATGAAATCTCTGCACCATCCCCTGCAGGAGCAGGGAATAGAAAAGCTGCCAGTTCCCAAACAAGCAGTACTCCCAGAACAACTCCTTTCACATCGCCTGCTGAAACAAAGTTTTGGAGCAGCTGATTCACCCTAGTCTCTTCCAAAGGTACAACATTTTTCTATCCTTATAAATATGAGACAATCCAGAGCTGGCCAAGTGCATGCAGTTCTCCCTACAGGCCCCATCAAAAGTTTGGAAAAGACCAAGTTAGACCGCACCCAGTTGGTTTACCTCAAATAAATAACTCCCCACATGTAGGTCCGGAACCACATGGCAGTGCCCGAGTTAGCCTGGTACTTGCGAATGAGGATGGGGTGAGGGACAGGTAGCAGCCCCACCAGTGTACCATGCTGCAAGAACTTGAGGATCTCCGATTCATCAGTGAGACCCCTGCAAAGAGACAGACCAGGAACATCCTTAGCATATCCACAGACACCCCCAAAACTGCTGCAGCACAAAGTAACAGTCTAAACAGACACAGAGCCAGCAACCACGGCCACCAAGAACACAGACTTTGTCCACTGAAAAAAAGAGTTGAGAAGGGATCAGAGAAACAAGAAGCTTGGCAAGCAAAATAACATCTCCTCTGCTGAGACCGTGATGCTTTCAATTATACTTTACAAGGTTTCCCCTACAGGCCCTCCAAATTCATCAAACTCTGCCAACCTCACAGAGCTCTTTACCACTGCACAGTCCTTTCTCTCCAAAAATGTACTTACTTGTCAATGCAGATCTTCTCCACCTGAGGGACCAGCACCTGTAAGAGCCGCATGATTGTCTGCAGGGGAAGCTTTGACTTCCAAGACATCACCTGTAAGTAGGAAAGCCCGCAGGGAAATAAGTGCACTGCATTAGCAGCTTTTCTACAGTTACCTCCACTATCTCTACAACAAATGCGGTTTACAAAAATCACAAAGGTGGTGGATGAACTGAGTGCACAACAGCAATACAATAAATCCTGGAGCACTGGAATTATGAACCACTCAATAGAACTAGCAGGGTATTGGTTTAAAACAGGTAAAACAAAATACTTCTTCACAGATGGCAGCAAACTTCTGGAGCTTTGACCACAAGTCAAAGACATTACCCGTGAGGAACTGCTCTTCTGCGGGAGTCTCTGCAGCAGGGGAAGGCGGGGTATGTGTGGCATTTCTGCCACAACTCTTTTCCTCATTATTTATTTCCTCTGTCCAGATTCCCTTACCCAGTCAGGAGTTGGGGTCCACTGTCCACTGGAGGATGCACTAGAGAGACGCCTTCGATCCCGTCGGGGATGTGATGCCTCCTATCAATAAATATTATTTAAAAAAAAAAAAAAAAACAAAAAACAAACAAAAGCAAATCACACTTAAGAGCAAGAAATACAACCCATTTTCTGACGACTTTTCCCCCAGCTTTTCCAGAGCACTGCTGGGAAAGACAGCTCAGCCTGTCCCTAAAACAGATCAAACCCACCAGACCTTCATTCACCGAAACCATATACCTTGGCCAGCGAGTGGCAACACTTGATGGGGTTGTAGGACCCTGTGGCAAGGTCACAACTCCAGTCACCACTGCTGACACTCTGTTGGAACAATCCACCGTGGGAGAGTTAAAACGGGATTGAAGAAAGACTGTTCAGGCATGCTTCTTTCTTTTAGCACAGAGATTAAACAGCTAAAGGCCACAGCTTTTCAGACCTCTGTCTACTGAGTATCTCTGGGATTTTTGGGGCCCATCCTGGAATATCTTAAAGAGCGTTTTTTCATGGGTGGACTCTCAGCAACTCCCACCTAATAACCCCTGCCTCTTAAGGAATGACACACTCATACCCCCAAAACACAAACACCATCACTAGTCACTTTTTGAAAAGCTCTGGTCGAAAGTTCAAGACCCACTTGCCTGTTATTATTCTTCTCGCCATCACTCTGTTTTCATTTCTTTTATACAGAAGACATTATTAACATCCTGGCTTTCCATATTCATGGTGGGAAGGAAGCAAATAACCCTTTAAAATCACTGTCAATCTCTGCACAAGGTAAAAACGGACAGGCTTTTTCCTTTTGCAGTGCACCCTGAGCATTCGTTACTACAACCTAGAGCTGACTTTTTTACAAAACAATGGAGAACAGCACTTCTTTCCAACAACCATCCTGCACCTCCACATGCATGGACTCATTCACATGTCACCTTCACAACCAGAAACAGCAGGCTTGGGACAGAGCTGTGCTGCAATCCACTGGAAGCTGACAGTGCTGTACCAGTCCTTTTCTGACTGGGAAACAGCTCAAGCCAGCTGCTGGACACAGAGATGTAATGACCCATGATTATGTTTCATGGGCTGCTGGAAGAAGAAAACCTTTCTTTTGCAAGTTCTCAGCCAAGATCTCACTTAATGACAACATAATTAATTGTATGCTTAAGATATATTGCTGATCATGGGCCTTCATCTGGTACTAGGGAAGGCCAGGAAGGGTAACTAAAACTGGTCCTGGGATATTCGGGAATTCTGTTCATTCCAGGTTATTCAAAGCCTAAACAGCAATATTATTTTGCAGTGTTTGCAGCTACAACCTTATCGTTCAGCCTGTTCAGCTTCAGTGCCGTGTCCTCATCAAGCTTCTAAAAACAAAATTCATAAAAACATAAAAAACTCTGATTTCCTTCAGATGACCCCACCCTCTTCCTCTTTCCTCCTCACTCTCCCACAGCCCTTGCCCCCTCACAGCTGCCATCCAAATGCTATCAGCCAGCTGACACATTTAGGAGAGGTAAGATGGAATTACACTGAAATATGAAGGCTGTTGAACACAAGACACTTTTGAAATGGTTACGACTGATAAGGGGAGAACATTACAACAGATAAAAGAAGGAAATTAAATCAGTCATAAGGGTGGGTATCCTAAAATTTATCCAGTATCTCTTAATAATTTATCTTAACTCAGTAGGTTGGAACAAGGTTGGAGCACAGAAAGAAGACAATGTTCAGATAGTCTGAAACACCACAATCCCTGAAGACAGCTGTGTGCTACTTGAAGCACCATGTAATAGCAGTGATGATTCTCCCCATAGCATATCCCACACCCACTGCTTTACCATCCTTCACCTCCTGTCTGCTTTTTGGCCCCCACCCCACAAATATTCAGACATGCAAATAGCATTGCTGGAGCCAGGTGGGGCAGCTAATGCGTAACTGTCTGTCTGAGACCAAAGGCCCACATCCACACACAAGCAAGCAGAACAAGCAGAGAGGATCAGGACTTAAGGGTAGAATAGAGGAATCTTCAGTCTGCTCCACTAGACTGTAATGCCTTTGCAAGCATCCCCCATTTGGACCACGATTCTGCAGTACTGTCTCAGCCAAAAGCATGTTGAAAGCATGTCCTGGTTGTGGCTGGGACAGAGTTAACTTTCTTAACTTTCTTCCCAGTAGCTGGCGGGGGGAGGGGGTGCATGCTGTGTTTTGGGTTTGGTATGAGAGGAGCGTTGATGGCCTATTGATGCTTTGGTTGTTGCTGGGTGGTGCTTGCACCGGGGACTTTTCAGCCTCTCGTGCTCTGCCAAGTGCAGGGGAAGCTAGAAGCGGGGAGCATAGCCAGGGTGGTTGACCCAGCTGGCCAATGGGGTATTCTATACCTGTGACATCATGCTCAGTATAAAATCTTGGGGGGGGCCCTCTCTGGCGGTTTGCGACACGCAGTCGGTGAGCAGTTGCATTGTGCATCGCCTGCTTTGTATATTCTGTTACTGTTGTTGTTATCATTGTTATTGTTACTGTTCTACTTTGTTTTATTTCCATTATTAAACTGTTTTTATCTCAACCTGCGAGTTTTCCTAGTTGTGCCCTCCCAATTCTCTCCCCCATCCTACCGGAGTGGGGGGGTGAGCGAGCAGCTGCGTGGTGCTTAGTTGCTGGCTGGCGTTAAACCACGACAGAGCAAAACAGACTGAAAGATTCTTGTGGCACCACTACAGTCCATAGCAGCCCATGATAAGATGCATCATTCCATCCCAACTCATCACCTCCTGCCCACTTTGCTCCACACCTGGTGAGAGCTGGTGTGTCAATTTGGCCATTTCAGAGAAAACTAAGAGAGGAAAAGCTGGGAAAGTTATGCCTTTCACCATGGGACAGCCACACCTCCCTGTGCAAACAGATTAAATGTTCTCACTACAATGAAATGGCTCAGTGGACAGTGAAAGCTCAGGCAGAGCGTGAGGCAGTGCTAGGTGTATAAATGTGACCTCGCTAAAGGAGGAGAGGACATGCAGGACAGCCCTTGTAATACACTTCCTACAAGACAGCCTAGAGGTTTTTGATACTGGACAGGAAAGGACACAGACTGAGGACTAAACAGATAATTTCAAAGACAGCTGTTTTACATCTCTTGATGAGGAAAACTAGCGAATGCCAGAAGGCTGACATTGCCATCAGAGCCTAGGAGACCAGCACAGCCTTGATTCAAAGACTGCAAACCCTTTGTCTCATCTGCATGGCCAAGCAGCCGCCACTCTGAGGGCAGCACCTCAGCCAAGCCCTCATGGGAACACATTTTTCACCACACCAGCTAGCCAGAAGATTCTGGTAGAGCTCTCCATCCCAGAAAGGAGGGAGAGGAAAAAGAAGCAGCAGTCAGAATCTGAGTTGAAAGCCTCTGGATCGGGAATACATCTCTTTGCAATTACACACTTGCTGCTCTATCAGTAGCTTTCAAGGTGGAGAAAGCTCACTCCTCTAGTGTTTTAGCTCTTGTGTCACTAGCGCAAACATGAAACACCCAAGATGATGCAACAGTACTTCTGAACCACGGTGTTTTCCAGTACAGCACACATGTGCATATTGCCTCTAATATGATGCCTTTCTTCAGAGGGCCAACCAGACCTCTCCTAAAGTCCCCAATTCTAGTTCATTTCACTTCCCTACACACCAGAATGTCTGGCCTTACCCCGCTCCAGGGCTCCCCATCGCTCACAGCTGAGGGCGAGTTACCCTCTGATGGAGGCTGTGAAGACTCGGGCTCCAGTGAACGCATGGTCCCATCCTCTGATACCTGTGACTTCTCTGTGAGCTTGTCAATTCCTGCATTCAAAAGAGGAAAAGCTCAGAAACACAAGTCAATGAAATATGCTTAAAAGCGGGGGATTATTCTCTGCCCTACCATGCACAGACACCCTATGCATCTGATGACATCTGAAACGCTCTCCTTTCAACAGGAGAAGCAAGATCTAGCCTTGATTTCACCACCGCAAAGGAGTTCTTTGTCTCTAGGAAAATGCTCCCTGATGTAAGAGGAACACAGGTTCACATGGATATAGTTAAACTGAGGCAAAAGGTCAAGATTAGAAGAAATGGCCACGTGGACACCAAGTCTGAGAGGAGAGAAACTCAAGGCAGTTTACTCTGACTTGTTTGTGATCAGCTTGAGCAAACTGATCTGCAACTCAGACTGAAAGGCAGTAAGTCGTTCACAGATGAAAACTCAATCTCTCCCACGCCCAGTGAAAGGGTGAGTCCACACGGTATCTCACAGAGAAAACAAACCTCTCTCCTGTTACAAAGGTAAACTAAAGCTGACCTGGAGTAGCCACCAAACTTGTCGTCAGCGTCCCTGTTTCAGCAGGGGCAGCAGGATGTGACCCTTCCATGGAGACCCCATCCTGGGAATTGGTGCGAGAAATAGGCTCAGGAGTTTTCTTCTTACGCTGCAGGCCTTTCTGGATGGACTGTGAGTCCGTGGGTAAGTTGGCCAGCTGGTGAAATACATTCCGCTTGCGGATAACAGCATAGACCAAATTTGAGTTCCCTGGGAATCACAGCAACAAATGAGCAGAGAAGTAAGACTCAAAGAGCTCTGCCAATACAGCACAGCTCACTGGGTACACGAAGTGTGATTGTGGAGACCCCGCAAGCTCAGAGAACCATGCTTCCACCCACAAAGGCAATGGCACACGGAAGAAAGAGCAGAGCTTGATATCCTCTTATCCATTACAACGCAGTACAGGAAATTTGGTTAAATCCTTCCTAGGCTGGAAGGCTGACAAGAAATGGCTTAGAAACCAACATTCAAACAACTGAGAAGAAAAAGGACAGTTTAAACCACATATTAGCACCTGTTTTGGAAAAAAAGGTTGTTAGCCAAGATTGAACATTTCTCCATCTTCAAAAGAGTTCACAGAACAAATCAGGGGCATTCATTTGAGGAGAAACAGGCTTGAAATAGCAAAGCGAAAAGGCCAGAATTCTTACTGTCTGCAAGGTGGCAGAAAACAGAATGAAACCATCCCCTAAAATAAAACACAAGTCACAGCCACAAAGGCTGGTTTAGGATCTGGCAACCACCACTTGCAAGATTTCCATTAGGAAGCAGAATAGCCACTCTTGATTTGCAGTTTTAAAGGAAAGCATTGAATTTTTAGCAGGTTAAGGGACCTCACTCTAGTATTTCTGGTATCAATACAGGCTGGGGG